TTTCAACACTCGAAGACCGTACGTATACAGCTATCTCRAAAACGTTGAACACTAAAAATAATAGTATAATATAGTATTGTGGAAAATAATAGAAAGTTATAAACAAACAATAAAAATATGCGACAAATACCATTAAACATTTCAGATTCGAAGTGYGTTCGGGAGACTATTTTTATTTCGGAACATGCAGTTTCCCCGGGCAACTATATCACAGTAATGCCCTCGATACAACCTGACTCTTTTGTTTAAATATAGTTTACATATGTTAGCGGTCAGAATTTCTTCAGTCAAATGACTGTATGTGGTAAAGAAAAAGTGCCATTTTATTAATTGAGGGGATTAGCGTCAAATCACCTCTGAAATGACCATGCTCCGGAACACGCTAAAGTGTCTTTCTATCGACCCGACGGTTGCTATGAAACTAAGTGTGGGACGATGAGTATTGATGATGTTTTCAATTGTCAGGAATTCACTGACTGATTTAACGGTCTGCTGGATTTGCGTCACATCTATATATGCATTAAGTGACAAGGAAAGTAATGGAAATCTTCATGTAGCCTCCGCTGGTAAGAGACTTTGGGTTTCCTGTGTTGAGAAAACCGATGGTGCCTGGGAAGGAGCTCAAAACTCGGCAGCTACGTTGAATGAAAGTCAGCCCATTGGTTTGCAACCGTTTTGCCGAACCATTTCTTATCATATATCACCGTTACTACATCTACTAGGAGAGAGTTTCACTTCCAAAAGAATTACGCACATTCTTTGGTGGTTTGAAATGCAACCACATGACAAAGAATTACCTGAGAAATAAAGACCAGTTCTTTAGAGAAATACTACTGAGTAATTTGGAATGCACTGGAACTACCAAGAATACAATTCCTTTCTAGAAATGAAAATTTTCTTATAACGTTCTGTGCTTCTGTTTTCTCCTTTGTTTGCTTGCGCGCGTGGAATCATGGGAGTCGCAAAGCATGCTGGGATGGGCAGAACACAAAGGAACAAATGATAATACGTCTGTGTTTACAGCGCACGTGTTTAATTCGGGTTTAGATTCTGGTCTGCTCCGCAAGGCTTGCCTACAAACAGAATAGAACCATTCATGTACAGTTGATGTTTGGTAAAAACTATTGCTTAACGATCCCAGCTCAAAATTATCGACTTTTACTGTGCGAGCAGAGGAATTTTTCAACTCTGGCAGAGTATCGACTTTTGGCTCACATTGGAAATTTTTTGCGCATTTGTGTTGCAAATGATACTAGTCAATTGAATTTATTGTTCCTTTGTTTTCATTTCAATTGTCATCCACTTTTTAAAACTTTCAAGAAGAGAAGAGGAATCACTATTTATAAATTTTTTCTCTTGTTTGTTTTTTCAATTGAATCTATTGTTCTTGTTTTCATTTCAATTGTCATCCACTTTTTAAAACTTGCAAGAAGTTTTATAATGTTTAATAGTACCCAGTATTTCAATTACTAAGTTTTGTACATAGTGATATTTTAAATTTTAGAAACATATTTATATATATATACTTAATTTTTTGTCACTCATATTTTTAACTTCTTGTATTGTATTGCTTGTTTTATTGTTTACTTTGTAATTGTCCGCAATCCAGCCTTATGGCTGCAATGGATTTTAATAAACTATCTATAAGAGAAAATAGAGTAATTCTTTTATACATACAATTTCATTTGGTATTTCGCTATTTGTTGCTGCTGCTGTACGTCCGTACGTGTGCTGATTGGTGATCTTGTTTGCTCTTAGATTAAAATTTCTTAAATCCAATGTTATCAGGAAGTACGATAGATAAACTATTTATAGATAGAAGGCAACAGTTATCCAAAAGAAACGCCTTTGACCTTCTCACATACAATCGGTATGCTCAATAATAACTTACGCGGAAAAATTTTCAACAGGAGGTCATGTGACCCCATCCCCCCTAAATTGATAATAATGTCTAAATATACTGAACTGTAAAAGACACCTGGATGTTTGTAAAACTACCTACTTCCTCAAAGATCGCGAGGTCTGTACGTGAACTAATATAAGACCAAGGCCTTAATAATACGGCGACTGTGGGGACACGGTAATGTAGAATAAATCAACCACAAATCCGCAAATCGTTATTTTTTGAGCATTCCGAAAATCTGTAATAGAAACCTCAAAAATTAGAAAATTCATACTATAAAACTGACTGAATCCGCCGATGCTAAAACCTCCATGTCCCCCCACCCCTCCCAAGCGAGCAGCTAGCCAGTTTCCTTTCGACCCTTTCGTGTTGAGTCGTGCACTGAATCCAGCTCAACAGTTTTTCTTACCAAAAACGAAAACATCTTTATGTCAGAAGAAAATGCTTCAACTTATCCTGCTTTTGAGGACTTTGAGTGTAGAAATTATTGCCTTGTTATCGATTATTTGAAGTGGAAAGGGGAAGACGTTCGCACATGCATGTCTGATAAGAGCAACTGAGCATGCTCAAGAGGAAATTCATTCCTGGGCGCGATGTCATCGATCTTTTGTATAACACGACAATTTGTAGCGTTCTCAAATAAAAGAATCAATAAATATGAAAAAAAGAGATCAATTTATGTAGCAAATAACTAAAAGGAAAAGATGAACAAATGAATGGATGAAAAATAAAAAGTAATTCTTATTACTAAGCAAAACTTGGACGGTACCACCTGCATGGCAYGGAAGACATAGGAGTTTCAGGGGAAGTAAACAACATTAATTGAGGTTGGTCATGAAAATACAGCTGTATGAACCTCGATGATATTTTGAACAACCAGGACAGCTATGAAAACTATACTAGAGGGAGTGACAAACTACTGAGTAAACAGGAAAATGGAAAAAGTACACCGTTAAAAAAACTGAATTAAATGCCAGGTAATTACAACTGCCAGAAAAATGGATGTTTTTCTTTCGAATTTGAATTATAAGAAGTGGCATCAACGTTTCTGCAGTGTTTTGGGTCGCTTGAAAGATGTAACTGGCTCAATTTTTACTTTTCAATGTTGTAAGTAAAAAATCTCAGTTTTTCGGTACCATCTCACTGCAAATAAAACGGTTGTGCATCAAGATTCATATACGTAAAGTTAACTTTAGATCATGGATGCTAAAATATTGATATATTTATTTATCCAAGTGTTGTTGACATGATATTGAATATCAGTTTTTGGGTAATCTTGCATCACACTTCGTTAACACATAGCCAAATATAAGCCTGTGATTTATCACAATCGTGGGTATTTCCGGCTGTCAATCATCGTGATGATGTCACTGCTGAGAAATCTAGAGCCACACCCTAGAATATGGATGGACATTGAACAGGACACCGGGGGGTGGTAAGCAACAGGCAAGCACATGCCCCTCAAATACGTGACAATAGATTTTGAGTTTTCAGTTGTATTTAACACAAAAGCAATTCAAATTGTTGGAATATTTTCGTAATTGCTTTGCAAATGCTAATCTATTAGCTCTTCACAATGCTGGGGTGGTCTGTGTTTTGCTTCTGTGTAAGGAAATATAACTGAAAAGTTAAAATTATATTGCAAAAGTTTTTGAAAATTAGCTTACAACGTTATAAATAGACCAGATTATGGTAAAAATACCTGTCACAAAGGAGCCTGGACATGTGACCACCTACGGTCAAACAAAGCCCATCAAAATAGAAAGCTCATATGCCACGAGTCTATGGCATTGCAATAAACACCACGCCAGATATGCAAGATATGACTCAATTTGACTTGAATATCTCGTATGTTGTTAAAAGATTAGCTTTTAAGCGATTCTTGAGAGCGATTAGTTGCAGCCAATCGTTAGAGAGGCTAGCACAAGGATATTTCTGGGGAATAGATTCAACCATAATGCTATTGTTTATGGCGATTGTAAACTTGACCTTAAACAGTACCATTGAAAATCGTGCTTCGCGAAATCTCGTTCTCTTTGAAGTGGCAGTACGCCGACAGGGTGGAAATTCTGGTTTACATAAGAACGCGCCGGGAGACTGATAGCTTATGAGGATTTTCTGGATTTTGTTTGCCGCATTTCATTTCAAGTCCGCGCGCAGACGAAAAGCCCGCGAAATGATCAATGCAAACTCTCCGTTGAAAGAATGCCTTGATTTGAGTCTATTGAATTGAAGAGCTTAAGTGAAGTGCATTATCATAACAAATTTCTGTATTTATCGTCGAAAAATAAGCGTGGAAAACACGTTAAAAAGTTTCTCTCTTCCTGCTATGAATTTCTGCAGTAATAGTATTACATTTTGCTAATTCTAAAGTAAATTGTTTTTGAACCGCATGTGTTTTTACAGTTATACAATGCCTACAATACTCGTAAACAATCATTCGATTCTTGTGACGTTGGAAGAAAGCTGACAACGATAACCGGAAGTGCCTAACAAAGTTTTTCTTCTTGGGATGGCAGCTCGCCAACGATTTCAAAATCACTCTCAGTACAATATTAGTCATTGTTTTAATAGACGAAAGAACTGCTGAGTTTGTTATGATTATCAATCGGAAGGTCTTTTATCGTTTAAAGTGGGCAACAACGTGAGCTGCATGATAAGCTTGAGCGATTTTGTAAGACCAATGTTATGTCATTTATACGCTGATTTTCCTGCCCGACCTCACACCTAGAGCTTTGGTACTATTAAAAGACCTTTAAAAGAGGCTCGATTGAAGAGATAGATATATACCCCTGCGCATCGCGCCATAAACGATATTTACTTAAGAAATAAACAATTACAGCAAATTAAAGCACGCTGGTTTGAAACAAAGTGAACACTCGTAAGCTATTTTACAGCGTCAATGCGCCCTTTTGATTGGCTCACGACACCAGTTTACAAGTTGATTGACAGAATGTGTGTTGTAAATACAAAGCCCTGATTTCATTCCTCCACCCACATTGCGCTATGATTGGGTGGCTTTTCAGATCGACAATAGCCTGATGGAACATCAAAGGAAAACCGTAAAAAGTCATGATTGACGCATCGCCGAACAAGTAACAGTCAGCATCATTCACATGTGCTCACGTAGCACTATTGACCGGTTTTAAACTCTAGTTGTAACTCCACTATATTGTTGTACTCGCGCGGGAAGCGGCAACTCAATGCGTTTCACATGCCTAGAAATGGCGGAGGGAAGTCGAAAGTCGCATCGGGATTCTGAAACGTGCCCAAACTGTTTATCATCGCTTGAAAATCCCAAAGTTCTACCGTGTTTACATACTTTTTGTAAGCGATGTTTGAGTGAAGCGTTGCATCGAGATCTGGATGGACGGTTGAATTTGAAATGTTTGAAGTGTCAAAGGGATTTTGCTTTGCGAGACGAAGGTGAAGATCCTTTGGATGAACTACAAGAGTTTTCACCGTTTCTTGGTAGGGATATTTTCAACGTATTCCCTCCACAACCGGACGTTGTCGATACTACTAGCCTGATTCAGGCAGTCATACGAGAGTGTAGCAACTGCGGTGATGGCATCTGGGTCACTTCATACTGCAAGGACTGCAGTGAATATTTGTGTGAAAACTGTGTTCGAGCTCATAACAGAGTAAGACTGACTAAAGATCATCAAATTGTATCTCTTATGGAAGGAGCTTTCTTAAACCAAGGAGCTATGACAGCAAAATGTACCGCGGATGTCGATCCATCTACTCGTCCTACTTCATTACAAGATAAAACATCCAACGGTCAAACACGTTGCGAAATACACGAAAATGAAATACTTAGGCTATTTTGTGAGACATGTTATCATCCTATATGTAGAGAATGTATGTATAACGATCACAGAGCACATAATTTAGTGTATTTACGAGATGCTACAGAGAATACCAGAGGAGCAGTAGGCAAACTACTGGATGACTCCAAAGCTGAATGTAGAAATATAGAAGAAGCCATAAACCTAGCACAAAGAACATTAGAACAAGTAGACTTCAAAACACAGATTGTTAGCAAAGAAATCAGATCTACGATCCGAAGACACAAGTTAGCTCTTGAAGAACGAGAGAGAGAGCTGTTGCGTCGAGTCGAGAAAGTCAGACAAGTGAAAGGAAAGTCTCTTCAAATGCAAGTGGAGGAGCTACAGACGTATTTATCTAACATTTTACAAGTTTCGGATGGTTCTGAATTGTCTCTTGATCAAGCTTCAGATACGGAACTTATGTCTATTAAAGCAAGATTAACGGAAACGTTGAACGATCTTCGTCACAAACGTGGCATACTTCAACCCCACGAGGATGATTCCATCGTGTTCACACCTCCCGATCTTGCTCTACAAACTGCAATCAGCTCTCTTGGGATCGTAAGTAGTTCAGCATTTGCGCCTTATTGTTTTGCCAGTGGAGAGGGTCTGCGTCGCGGTGTACGCGGAAAGGATGTCATGTTTGTTGTTCAAAGTAGAGACCATCATAACGAGAATCGCGGGATCGGAGGGGACCCCTTACATGTAGTGGTACAAGGACCTGATGGGATATTGTACCGTGGGGATATATCGGATCGTCAAAATGGGGTCTATATTGTAACTTATAAACCTCAAATCGAGGGAGAACATATAATTTCTGTAACTATTCGAGGACAACATATCTTAGACTCCCCATTTCGGGTAGAGATAAAGAAAGGTCGAAATTACACTGGCATTGGGCCAGTACTACTCTCCTTTGGATCCGAGGGCGAGTCGGGAGGACAGTTGTGTCGTCCTTGGGGCGTTTGTTGTGATAAGAACGGCAATATTATCGTGGCTGATCGCAGCAACAACAGAATTCAAATCTTCGATAGCAACGGGAAATTCGTTCACAAGTTCGGTTCTGCTGGTAGTCGTAACGGGCAGTTTGATCGGCCTGCAGGAGTAACTTGTGATAACGAAAGGGGAACTATCATTGTGGCGGACAAGGACAATCATAGAATTCAAGTCTTTACTCAGGATGGTAACTTTGAGCTCAAGTTTGGAGAGAAGGGCAGCAAAAACGGACAGTTCAGCTACCCCTGGGATGTGGCCGTGAATAGCGAGGGGAATATCCTAGTTTCGGACACGCGTAACCACAGGGTCCAACTGTTTTCTCACGATGGACATTTTATAAACAAGTATGGTTTCGAGGGAATTCACTGGAAACACTTTGATTCTCCGCGCGGCGTTGCGTTTACTCATGATGGGAAAATGATTGTCACCGACTTCAACAACCATCGTCTTCTTGTCATCTCGGGAGATTGCAAAAGTGCGCAGTTTCTTGGTTCTGAGGGCAGTGCCATTGCGCAGTTTGTGCGTCCACAGGGTGTGTGTGTAGATCAAGAAGGTAATATCATTGTTGCAGATTCACGTAATCATCGCATTCAGATCTTCCAGCCCAATGGGAATTTTCTATGCAGCTTTGGAAGTCATGGTCATGCTCTTGGACACCTTGACCGACCTTCAGGAATCTGTGTTACTCCAGATGGGCTCATAGTTGTTGTAGACTTTGGTAATAATCGCATTCAAGTATTTTAATGTCATGTTCCTTATAATGTTTATAGTGTGGTTTACACGCTGCATTTGTAATGCGTGTATTTTGTATTCTAATCCACTTTAAATGTTTACTATGTAACAATCATGTCTTAATTTCAACTTCTGAAATATTCTTATACTTCAACGGTTTTTCACCTTGTTTTGTTACACAGAAAACTGTTGAACTGTAAGAATATAGACAGATACGAATTACATTTTCCTGTTTTGTTATCAAAATCATTACCAAATTGCAACTACCTCTTACAATTGCGTGAGGTAACGTGCTGCACTTACATGTAATACAAATCGTTTAAAAGAAACTTTTCGGTGGACAAGTGAGCCACATTTGAATTTTTTGGATCATTTAGGAGTATTCTCTTTAGTTTTCTAATCTCAGTTACAAATTCAAACAAAAGAATACTATTCTAGAAAGACAATAGGACTTATGTATTTATTGATTTGCGTATAAATGGCGCAACGAATTATGATACGCGCAAATGRCTTGTGCGCGTCCTCGAATTGACGTCGAATTATGTTATTTATCGCACATATATTCTTGATTATTTATGAATTTAAAATTCCAGATTAAAAGTGTATTATTATTATTATTATTTCCATTGAGATATTTTCAGCTAAAATGGCTTTGTATTTAAAAGTATGGTTCAAACGTACCGACGCMTTTTTGATTGATGCAAAGGTGTGAACTTCTTTAATGAAAAGCTTTTCTTCAAAATAGCGTATTCACTAAAAGACCTAAAAAGCTTTTGACTGTATTTTTGGACACTGCTTTGAAGTTAGGTATAAACTTTGTTGCTACAGGTAATTCTGAAGTTCAGGCTTGATAATTAAGCAAATGTAGTTATCTCCGCTCTTGCCTTCTTGTCGCATTCTGTTCTGAATTCAAATCCTAAATTGAACTCTAGTTTACTTAGTGTAATGCGTTCTTTGTTATTCAAAAAATAGTCTTTTAGCGTAATTATCAACGTAAAGGCAGAGTCATGTCGCTAAAAAGCAAAGAGTTTGACAATCGCAGATATCTTGGAAAGGAGAAGCGAAGGTGTTCTATAATTGTTAAAAGCTTCCAGAAAAACCACTAAGTTTTACTATAAACTCGTTATGTTGACAAATTACATTTGGATTGTCCGTTTTTCTGACAATATAGAATTAGAAAGTAAATGAGCCTGGCAATAGGCTCCGAAAACTCTCGCAGATTTTCATATAGGAAAGTTGCTGCAACCAGAAGTAAAACAGAAAATATGAACGTTCCAGAAAACGTTAACGGCTAATGCCTCATTTTTATATTCGTGCGACACAATCGCGGAAAATACCATTATAGGTGATAAGAAATATTACAAAATTTAAGAATACAAGCACAAAGTGAACTCAAAAAGGTTATTTTTCTAACACATAGAAGAAGTGGACTTATCCACCCACCTAAAGCATATTAAAGTAGCTCAACATTGAGCCTTAGCTCAAGCTCTAAGGTCTGCAGAGCAGATCTTTTTACCGCAACGAATGTTAGTACAAAGATTATATCAATTATAGTTCCAGTTATAGCTTAATTTTTCAATTTAGACATTATATCTCCTTGTTTAGAATTTTCATAGTTCTAGTTCATTGATCAAAACTGGGTGCTTGACCTCGGGATTAACCTTAAGCCAGGTCCTTCCTGGCTATGTTTCCTGGTATTGTACCAATCTGTCATTATTTGTCACCTTCCTGCATTCCAGTTTTGATGGACTAAAGCTAGAAACCATGGCATATTAGTGCCAAGTTGATTTCCAACATTTATTCCCATTTATAGACATTTTTTCCTGCTAGTAATTATTATTGTAGTGTTGGCTGATTTATTCGTGCTATGTTAATTAAGACAGTATGGAGTGTTTGAAGAAATTCCCAATTTACTAATTATAAATTAAAGTTTATATACATCTATGGTTTTCAAAACTAATTCCTCTTCATTATCAGATACCTGAGCTTTTTTTCTTGTGATTTTAACTTTGTTTTTAGTAAGTAATGATATAAGCTGGAATTTTACTAGATGTTTTTAATTGTTGTCTTTGCACTTCATTCATAAAGACCAAAGGACTACTTATCTTTTACTTTGTTCATTAATTTGTGTGCTAATTTGAAGAAATAAGTTTTGAAAACCATGAAATAGTTACAGTGCGTTGTTACAACGACATTATTCCAATATGCCCATTTATAAGGGTCACCATTCAGTGAACTTTTAAAAAATTAATGTATTTTGATTGAAGCTGATGAGGAAAATATTATGTGAAATAAAAAGTGTTTTCTTGTTAACCCATGGCTTGGTTGGTATGTGTTGCAGAAATCAGGGGGAGGGGGAGCCCAAAGCTACATAAAAAGTGGAATGTTTTCTTGAAGTTCAAGGTCAAATTCATATAGTCAATGTACACATGGGAAATAGGAGACCTACATACAGTAAGATAGGAAGTTATTTTGGAAGGACTTAATAAAGAGACAGTGGAAGTGCTGCACTTTAAGCTAACTCAGGGGGGTGCTGGGTCGTTGCAAGGGGGGGTTATTGGGTCATCCCAGGGGGGGAGGTGCTAAGTCATCACAGGTAGAGATTATCTTTCATGTCACCTCCATAGGGATCTACTAGGCAGAGAATGAGCAGGAATCAGTCCTCATCTGAATCTCCCCCTCAGTACCCCCTGCAAGGTAATGACAAACTTATATAGCTGCACAAGTCAAAACAACATAGGATGAATTCAAAATAGCTTTTAATAAAGGCCAAAAAGGTTTGTCAACATTTTCACAGTATCTTTACATGTTTTCGTCGGTCTGAATTGAAATGTGATGATTATAACCTAGTTTGAACTAGACTAGGAGGCCACTTGTCTTGTTGAGCTTAAAGTTCATAAATACATCAATAATAATTATTTTAAGCTTTTGTGTTTGTCTGGAATTTATAAATACTGTTCTGGTGTTATGAAACCATTGAGGTGAAACTCCAGACAGAAGAAAATTGGGCACATAAATATTAATTTTCAATTATCAAAAGTAATAAAAAGAATGAAAAACCTTCTTCTTGGTATCAAAACTCTATAATCAAAGGTCCGTGGGACAGGTTGTCCAAGGGAGGTATTGATTACGAATAACATACAGTTTCAAGTTTCTGTAATTGCCTCTCGGTGAAAGGAAGTAGTGAGATGTTTGATGGCTCTATATTTACCGTTTTCACAAAAATAGATACCGAAACAAACCAGGCCATGGTATTATGATATCTGTTTTGTATATTTAGGTGACCAAAGCACTTGTTATACTTGGATATTCTTGCAGCGTCGTCTATATTTAGTATCAATTTGGTACAACATAGCTGTCAATTGTCTGCCTGGTCCTACTTCATAAAACATGTCTGGATTCCAGTCCTTGATAACATTTTGTATAAGAGATTGCCACTGTACAGGCTGGACTATTTGGTCTACCAATAATCTATGGAAAATGACATTACTTTAGTTTTACTGGCAGAGACAATATGAGTATGATAATTGCCGTGCAGGGACATGGATTAAACGTAAAACTTGCAGTGGCGGATCCAGGGGGGGKTYCMWKGGKTYCYWRGRAMCCCCCYYMARSMWTWAAAAAAAAAAAAATAAATGATAAATGAAATAAAATGAAAAAGCATCGTACAATGAATCTTTATTCAATACATTCACACTACATTTGCTACAGTTCGAGAGGCACAGTAAAAAAGTTCGTTTTAGGAAAATGCGAAAACAAAGAGGAACCCCCATTTGAAAAATCCTGGATCCGGCACTGACTTGTACGATCTACTGAGCATTAAATACAATGGAAACAGATTACTTGAATGTGTGTTCCTGACTCCATGTTTTAATACTCATTACACATTCCTACACACAATACACAGGTTACCCAGATACAAGATACCGTATGTAAACACTTCATTAACTCCCCTTTCCAGACAAATAAAGAGAGTAATGTAGCTTTGAGTTGTATCCACAGGGAGCCCAATGAGGTGTGGACAATCAGTCTAAACTTAGTAATGAATTTCAAGTTTTTTTTTCAATTTTGTTATAAAATTGTCAAAGAGGTTTCCTATCGTTTCAAACTCTTTGGAACCAGGGTATCTCTTGGAAAGTTTTGGAAAAGTAATTCTCTACTCCTTAACACTGGAAATTGTTGATAGATAGCTAGTCCATAACCCAGTTTTTCATAGTTGCTGTCTTACACATCATTCCAGATCACAGGGATTATAATTATGTGATTATTTACTCGCTTGTTTTGGAAGTTTTCTATGAATCTGTCACAAGTCCTGAGTACCAAAGGCATTTGGTATTAAGGTAGTGTGTGGAGTGTATACATTCTCTTATATCAAGTAAGCTTGGGCTACCATTGAATGATGTACTGCGAATCAATTGGGCTCAGATCAATCAATTCAATGATCATCCATGAAGTGTAGAGAATGGTCAGTAAACTAAGAGATCTGTACATGAAATTTGTCGGTAAATAAAGATATTAAGCTTAAATACATAATATCTATCTAACGACATCCTCGATTTTACGATAACGTTACTTYATCCCGACAAAATACTCACACATGGTGTTAAACTTTAAAATTACTCACGTTTTAATCATTTCTACTGATTCATAAGGTTTTCCAGTAACATTAGAATAGACAGGAATCTCTGGAAGACAGACACTAATAGCATCGAGTGCTTCTTTGACAATAGGCTGAGCACTGGACATCAAAGCAGTGTGAAAGGCACCACTTACTGGAAGCTGGAAGACATCTCTTGCTCCATGCTAGGAAACACATAATATACTGTTTACTGACCTTTATTCTAATCATATGAGGAAGTAGCTGATCTCATTAAAGAGTGCTCTATACACATATAGTGTAGAGCTAAGTAATAACGAAGAGGCAAGATTTGCAAATCTTGCCTCTTCATTATTACATATATTAATATACTGTTTATTCTAACTATTCTTGTGCTTACAATAAGAAAACTTGGGCTCTGACATTTCTAGAGAATTTTAATTCTGGAGTTTACACATTAAACTTGTTTCTTGCAACCAGACTTTCCCAGCAATGATTCTCGCCTGGGACCCAAGCATGAACAACGTTATTAAGTTAAACATTAACTTAGTCTCCTTCAAAGCCTCCCCCTTTTTGGGGCTTCCTGTCCCTCGGGAAACCCGACAAAAGGCGAGGCTGCGAAGGAGACTAACATAAACTTGCCAGCTTGTGAACAATCTTCATTCACCAAGTGACCTAAGTTCTGTGAGTTTGTAAAGATAACAAGTCTCACCTTTGATTTGCCAAACTGTAACACATACTCTACAGCGTCCATTGGCCCAGCAATCACATGACCTCTTGTATAAAGATGATTGGCTATAACTACACTGTCTTTTGATTGGACAGCATTACTAGCTATTGTACAAAGCTCTTGAATTTCATTTTCATTTAAGCCTTTTACTGTCACCATTCCACTAGGGGTTTTCTCTGATGCTTCTTGCATAGCCTTGGCTCGGCAATGGATAACTTTGATAGCTATGCACAGGGAATCCAATAAAAAAAATACATAAGAAATATAATCATGTTAATGAGCAGCTGCAACTTTGAGAAAGTGCAAAGTGAACTCACCATCATCCAATGAGAATGCTTCGGCAAAAACCAAGGCAGCAAACTCGCCAACACTAAAACCAGCTGTAGCACAAACGTTAGAGTCACTTAGTTTATTTCCAGGCTGCTCCTAAACAAATCAAACAGTGATAAACGGAGAGGCAGATGCAGGACTTTTCTCATGGAATGAGAGGGGGGGGGGGGGGGGAAGTGTATCTAAGGTTCAAAGGAAGGGAGTGCACTCCTCCTTAATTGCTACACAATTGAGACATGGAGTATTCAGACCTGTTGCACCCCCCTGGATCTGCATTTATGTATAAGAGACATGACTTACCAAGTACCCATGGTAACGACACCACTGAACGGCTGCCAAGGAGGCWGTAACTACTGCCAGTTGACAATTCTCAGTTTTCTGAAGTTCCTCATCTGGTCCATTAAGACACATCTTTAGAAGGTCAAAACCTACACATGAACTGACTTTATCAAACAGAGACAGCAGCCAAGGTTCCTTATGAAAACGCTCGCACATTCCTACAAATTGGGATCCCTGTCCAGGAAAGAGAAACACCCGAGAAATGCCATCTCCTGTCACGCTAGATTTTCGTCTTACATTTCTCTTCATCAACCATGGTGATTGCGCAAACTTTCTATAATAAAACATGAAACTCAGCGTATCAATAATGGAGAGATATCAAGGAAAAAATGCAAGAAACCTTTCTGCTCAAGGCGGCAGCCATTTTGAATTAATTATCAAAAATCCCAGAAAGCTTTTCGTGTAGACACAGGTATCCCGAGATTTCAGCGGTATTGGACATGAAAGAGATGCACTGTCATTTTGTTTTCACCAAATGATGGAGGAGGATGTGAATTTGAAGTTTGATGGCTACGACGAGGATTTGAACGAAAACCTCTTTTTTAAATACATACAGACGAAGCACAAGAGTTTGTACGATGATACAGCGAAGCATCGTTGGATTGTAAGTAAAAACGGAGGTTTTTTGTATCAGACTTTGAGCTCTATAACGTTTTTACAGCAGAACAACTATTAAGCTTAACTAAGTTTATATGTTTGTTTGTTTGTTTTAATAATAAGCGTATTTTTACCTTTTAGAAATATTAATCAAAGTTGCAACTATAAAATGAATTGAATTCTTATCGATTGTTCTCTATAAACTCGTGATCTGTCGATTGATTTTGTTTTCTTGTTTGTTCAAGATCTGTGTGCCAAGAAAAGGCACTTTGTCTCGTTCCAAYCACACGCTTAAAGATGTAGAAAATCATTTCCTTCAGCCAACAGAAGGCGAGAGTTCACATGCATATACAACATTAAATGGAAAGGTAAAGTTTGAAGGACGTTGTTTTTAAAAATAAGTATGCATGTACCTAATGGACCACTTAACATTGTACAGCAGTTTTCTTTATTTGCGTCACGTACATTATAGTTTCATTACAAGAATCTTGGCATATGTTYCTTTTCTAATGTCACATTTGAACCTCATTTGGCCAAATGACAGCTGGCTGGCGTTCATACATATTATTTCATGAAATGAAAATATTTTTTTGATTTTTGTTTGTAACTCTTTGCACTTCTGGAAAGCAGGTTTTATTCTAACTTATACAAAAAGTATTTTTATTATGATTTTTGAAATATGTAGTCAGTAGTTAGTTTAATTGGCATAGTTAGTATAAATTTCTAATTATTTTAAATCCATACAAGTTTTTACTGTGAGATAGATAAATAAAGATTGATTGATTAAGTGATTGACTGAAATTGATGGACTGATTGATTGATTGATTGATTGATTTTATTTTCAGAGTGTCAAAGTTAATGAGGGTTTCATCTTCACAGAAAAGGGTTTTGAAGATGTAAAATATGTAAGTTATGTCATTACTTAGCCTCCTATGCAGGTAACTCTATATAAACTCCATTTCTTTTAATTTACGATCTTTTGGGCTTCCTTTGGTGAGAGACCCCCTTCGTTATATTTGTTCCCAGACTTCCACAGAGAGAGAGATGCCTGCAGTGGAGGCTGGTCATTACTCAACCTCCTACCCAGGGCCTTTCTTCAGAACAAGCCCTGGTAACAAGTTTGCTAATTATTTGCATTTAGTATACATTAACCTTTTTTATGTTTAGGTGCGAATTCTATTTGAAGAGACATTCTTTAATGGTAACAATGAGAGCTACCAAGTATTGTGTTTAGATCAGCCATTGGAAGGAGGAATAGGTTAGAAGAAACATTATCAGCTATCATAACTAGTACATTAGCTTGAAACATTGAGTACAGAAGGATGAACCTATGTGTTTGGAGGGGAACAGACATAGRAGTGGAGACCCAGATTGATAATTCATAGATCCGACAAATCAAGCGCGAGCATGCGATTATCCAATCAGAAGAAAGCGCGGGAATCGAACGCTCGCGCTTGTCCCACAAATGAMCAACAAATGCTTTCGATTTTTTGTAAATTACATTCTTTGGACGATTTGTCGATAGAATTTCCGATAAATTTTCTGTTTCTTTTCTTAAAAACAATCTGAAGTCAATTTGAAAAAGACCTAGAGAAATGATTTAATTATTTTTCATGAGTTTTACTTTGAGCACTTCATGCTTTTTCCGTACATTTTGATCCAATTCAAGCATTTTTCTAAGCTAGTCTAGTTTTTGTCTTGGGAATCAAAATAAATCGTCCTCCATTTCATCTGTCTGGCTAGCGCTCATCTGCTTTACAAGTGCCCCAGCAACATCTCAAAACCATCTCAACTTCGCCCTCCGAACCGACTTGTTTACATTTTTTGTGGGACAACATGGCTGCCATTACGTGTCCTCTATTTTGATTGGCCAATCCAGCGGGCGCTGATAACGAGTTTGATTTGTCGGAACTATGAATTATCTTCACTTAATACAAGAAGTAGAAATGACTTATATTTTTTGTTATACATATAGGTGTAAGTGCAGACCCTGTTGTCCAGGCATTAGACAATCTTCAAGGTTGTATTGATTTCTTATGGCCCTCAACTGGTGAGTATGGTGAAATGCAGATTACAAGAAACTATATACACACMCACTGCTTTCTAACAATACAAAACTACAAACTGAGCAAAAACCAATAAACAAAAAACAACAACAAAGAAACTAAGTCTAAAGGAAAAACTGCCTACTCTTAAGAGGCACATGCATTTAAGGTAGTAGAAATGGATAAAATTCACAAAATTTTTATCATTTAGTTCAATTTGTATACATTATTAGAACCATGTTACCTAAAAATGTCATCAGTTTTCGACCGGGAACATTATATAAAACGAAGAATTGCTCGTAACTAAGACGCCATTTTGAATCRCCATATTGAAATGTGAGATGAACATCAAGGGAATACATTCATGTTGCAAAGCTTATACGTAAAAATAAAAAAATAAAAATAAAAATACACACACTATACTATAAAAAAAGTATACATAAAAAAAGTACACAGCAGAAGAGGCACACACATAGCCAGCMAACAAATGCACGCCATAAAAAGAGCTTGCAGCAAAAGAGACATCACAAATAGCCAGTTAACAAACACATACTATGCAGCAAAAGAGGCCCACATATACAACAAGGGCGGATCCAGGGAGGGGCAAAGGGGGGCTGTAGCACCTCCTTTAAGCATAAAAGGTTAATTGTTTTCTATTATTTTCAATGTTGTTTATAACAAATAAAGCACATTTATCTCCCCTTAAGACCATTAAGCCCCTCCCTCCCCTCCCTTCCTACTGTAATATTTAATCAAGTATATAATAAGTGTATTTATTTTAGGAACCAAACAGGGTCAGAAGCAGATTGATGAAATCATTAGATTATTCAATTCCACTTACCAACAGCTGGAGGGAGAATCAATGAGACATCTCATGGTAAAAGCATTTATTACTTGATTTATAAAAACACCAGGAAGTGTATTGAAAATGGAATATATTTTGACTAGCCTCCTTTGTACGCAACTCTACTCTGTGGGATTCCTGTGTTAAGGCAAAAATCTGCCGGAGGGGGAGGGGGTTGTTCCTAATCTCTCRACACCAGTTCTCCTCAGTCAAGATTATGAGTTACACACAGGAAGACCAAGAAGAGAAAAAAGCMTGTTTATGTTTGAGTGGTCTGCAAAGGAAGCTAGTATTTTGACAATTTTCTCTGCTTCTTATACAGGATGCTGCTAATGCTATTTATACCAGGGCCATGCAGCAAGCTTTGAAAAATACACAACTTGTAAGCATACTCCACAAAATGTTTAATAATATTGAAGAAAAATATAAGCTATATATCATACAGTGAATGATAATTCAAGAGGAACTTGACAGACAGTAGGGAAATATTATGTTTATGTTATTGTCACAAACAATCACCTCTTGTATAAACTAAAAATTTTGAATTCAATAAAATACTACTAGCCACTACTTACAATTTTCTGTTTTCTTTCTTTTTTTAGAGAAAACTTTCACAAAGTAACAAGTCATATTTGGATAATATTAAGTTAGCGATTGAGGTAAGCATTGACAGCATGTCAAGTAAAAACTTGTAATTTGAAGAACTCAGACACCATCTCTATACAATGTTTTAATCTGGATCTTCCTTCTTGGTGTTTTTTTTACAGACCTATGTTATCCATGGATTATACACTCAATTAATGAAGGGAATAAGCTGTATTGTTGGGAATGAGGTAAAGAATGCCAACAAATGGGCTAAAGTCATTTTCATTTCATTTGAGCACAAAAGATTCGTGAGACTAATAGTTGAAATCACACTCTGAATCT